GTCTTATCAGAAATGACCTTTTCCACGTTAGGAGAAAGCTTTAATCTTCCGCCTCTCGTGACCGTCTCCCATTCTGACAAGAGGCAGTGCTCTTTAGCCTAATCAAGCACATTCATTAAAAACTAATGATTGGGAATTGTAGATTGTGTGCAGGATAGCTAGACAAGGATAGCTTCACACATTGCAAATGCCCCATTGTAATCCTGATCATAATTTACGTAATTTACAAAATGCTCCCAAAAATACTTGGAAAAGAAATTATGTCTCTTTGCTTTGTAATGTAATAGAGGGGCAGCGGGTATGCAAAAATGTGTGTAACAGGACACGGCATTGAATTTCAGATAATGCCCCTCCCCCGCACATGAAATGGTACAGTCCGCCTGTGGTGACCGCCTATTGTGACTCGCCTGTGGTGACCTACGCCTCTACGCGAGACTTCCCTAGATGAAGGAATCATCCTGATCATGTAGCGCCTCTAGCGACCCTCCCACTATACGCAGGTACCAATATGCTTGCTGCTTCCATGTGTTGAGTCATATATTGTATTTAGACTATTCAAATAACGCGGTTCCCGTGTGTGTTTAGCAACTACATAATGTGCTCAGTAATGTAGCGTCCTTTCCGTAAGGCCACAGCAAGTAATTTTTATGGATGACATCAGCGCGCGCTTTAATTTTCGCCTGATTTTGGAGAAAAAATTGTTACCTTCTGAGTGGTCAACATGCCGAAAATGGGCAAGGATGTCTGTTGCCATGCCGGAAGGTGAATGGCAGATAACTTTGAAGAGAGGAGACAAGAAAATGCTCTGATTTAATGTTTTGTTTCCTACTTTGATGCAGTAATATGTGATGCTGGCTGTGTATATGTGATGTTCCCACTGAATCAAAACCATTTGTACAATGATTGAGTCAAAATTTGAAAATGTAGGAACCTTGTTTTTCTTGGCCCGTCTTTTTTTTTTCGCCCGCTCGCATTAGATATGGAGTCTGCGGAGGATGTCATCCATAAAATTTACTTGCTGTGGCCTAATTCATGTTCGCTTGACTTTATCAACCTGTCAGTGCCTGGCGTGCTGTTGCCGTTGTGTAGCTGACATTATCCTATTTTTCCTGCCCTGAAAATGTCGCAAAATTAATGTCCCTTATCGAAACGGTTGCAAGGTCAACCTCCCGTGTCGGAATTGTATGGCCAAAAGTGTCCTAACAAAAGAGGGTATGAAATGAGCTGTAACAGAACTCACTATATCACAGACACATTAAACACGGGTGGAGCGTTCACACTGAAGTGAAATAGCAGTTTGGCTACCAGGTCTCTATTGGACTGGAAGAAAGTGTTGAAATAATAGAGCTACATAAAATGTGTGTGTGTGTGTGTGTGTGTGTGTGTGTGTGTGTGTGTGTGTGTGTGTGTGTGTGTGTGTGTGTGTGTGTGTTTGTGTGTGTGTGTGTGTTTGTGTGTGTGTGTTTGTGTGTGTGTGTTTGTTTGTGTGTGTGTGTGTGTGTGTGTGTGTGTGTGTGTGTGTGTGTGTGTGTGTGTGTGTGTGTGTTTGTGTGTGTAGAGGATGATCCCTAAGAATTTTATTTTTTATGTATATAAATGTGTATATACATCTTGTAGACACTGGAATTTTGTTTTTCACGTATATAAATGTCTATATACATCTTATAGACACTGGAATTTTTTCATGTATATAAATGTGTATATACATCTTGTAGACACTAGAATTTTGTTTTTTATGTACGTGTATAAATGTGCATTTTTATCTTATAGACACTGGAAATTTGACGAAAGAAATCTATTATTATATACCGTCTGGACCTGTCTACATTGTATGACTCTTGTTCTAGTTCGTACTTTTATCAAAAGTTAAGTTATGTTGCCTTTTCCCTTTCTGGTTGCGTCTTGTTGTCTAATTACTCTATGTATTCTGCTGGCAAATGTTATCGCCGAAAGCAGTAGCAACCAAAACACGTTAGTAACCATTATTTAAACAGCAACATTTGAATCAGTAGTATTTCATACTTTAGGTATTTAAAACTGCAGAAACAAGCCCCAAGATGAGTCCTTTATTTTCTGGACGGTAACCTTAAAAATCAATCCAGGTCCTTCCAGTAACCGGTTTTTCGTCAGCATTTTGGGCATTAATGCTCCATGAATGTCGATATATATTGGTAACGATAGTGTTGTTTTAATGTAGTATGTAGATAAGTGACTAGAATATTGACTGAAAATCTGGTTTCCAAGCCCTACTGCCTCCGTAGCAGGCTTATATAACTGGGGGTGGTTTGGTGGTCTTTTGGCTGTTTTCTGATTAGCCCAGTTCTAAAACGGGGGTAATTCAACCAGGCCGGCTATGTTGTCTATATGCAATCAGAAAATAGCACATAAAAGCTCCCAAAGACCCTAAAGACCCCGAAACTCCCAGTTTTTGGCATGCTATGGAGGCTATCTTGCGGCCCTGCATATGCATGAACTTGACCGTTAAGCATGACCCATGTCCAACGCGCTAAATACCCGCAGAAAAGCGGCCCTACGTGGTTTGTTGCTCGTAGCTCAGCCGTAACGCGACGCCATGACGTCAGGTAACGCGTTCTTGGAGGGCAATGACCGAATATTTACCCAGGTTGCAACGGGGCGTACCAAAGACCCCAAAGGTTTTCCTCAACTTCTTAGGGGGTTCAGCTTGGATTTGAACTTGTTTTAACAAGTTTTTTCGACAAGTTTTGCCGACAGAAATTGCACCAGGGGTGGGAGGGGGATTGAAGCATGATTCCATGATTGAAGGAAAAGTTCGGTCGAATATCCTGCTCAGACCTTTAATCTATAATTACATCAACTTTCCATGGTCAAAATACTAAATGTATCTTCTGCATAGTTTAATGATAGCTTAGTTCCTTTGTTACCCAAAGATGTGATGTAAAATGGATACACGATTTGGACAGTTCGTTGTTTCTTCTGACACTGCGCGGTTCACCTAAGTGAGAAGACATGCCTTCTTAGCATACCTTGCGGCAGGTGTGTCCCGGCATTCCGCCGCTGTTTGCCTTGTAGCTTAGCTTATCGTGTGGGCGTGACTCGCACCAGGGGGGCCTTGGACACGCCCAGTGAGCGTCAGACCGTTGGAATAGTGTTGACCAGCGTAGTTCCGCCCACCCTCTCTCTCTATCTCTCACGGGACGATTTTACAGAACATTGTCAACGTCTGTTCCAGGTTTTTTTCTTCGTATCCTGCCGCCGTACGTAGATCTACTGTTCCAACAACATGGGAGACGCAAGCCAAGCCCTGGCCCTGTCCGGCAAGAGTAACTGGAAGGTGGACATGTTCAGCTGCTTCGACAACATCGGGCTGTGCGCGCTCACCTTCTGCTGTCCGTGCGTGACGGCGGGCAAGAACGCCGAGGCCGTCGGGGAGGACTGCCTGAAGTACGGCCTGTACTCCGTCCTCGGCCCGGTCGGGATGTACAGCATGGCCTACACCCGTACGAAAATCGCCGAGAGGGAGGGTTTGCCAGCCGACTTCGTCACCAACTTATTGATCTACGGCACCGTGCCCTGCTGCGCGCTCATGCAGGAGGCTCAGCAAATGGAGAGCGTCAAAGTTCCGCAACCTGCTCAAGCCCAGGAGGAGATGACCAGAGAATAGAAGTGACCACGAGGGGGGAGGGGAGCTCCAGTTTACCGGGACCCACGGGGACAAGCATCACGAGACTTCCAGGGGAAAATCAGCCGACGTTTTCGTGATGAGATCTACAACTACATTGTACTACTGAAAAAAAAACGGGGCCAAAATTAACCTATTAACTCAGGGACAGGGAAAGACAACAAAACGACGCTCTGCGGAAAGAAAGGACAGCATTCAAGAATGTGAACATAGACATCTTTAGAAGGGAGATCTAGAACTAGGCCAACTTGGGTACTGTTTTCAGGCACAGTGAGCAAATACTTTGGGCGTTACAATCAGCTAAAACGCACCGCGCAACATTCCAAGCCAACCCCGACACCTGACACCGTTATGTCGGAATGTTTTCGTGTACAAACAGGCGAGTAGACTTTACACCAGGTGGGACTGAATCACCCCCTTTTGTGATAGAAACATCCATTTGACCAGACAGTGACACCTTGTCCGCCAAGCACTGGCCGTGACCAGATCATAAAATGGACACCACAGACAGAACCTACTAGATAAGAGCCCACGTTGTTTGACTAATATCCATGCTTTTAACCTAGGCATTAATCGTTAACCAGAGCACAAAGTTCATGTAAACATATCTGAGTACTTGTGAAGCGGTGCGGTTACACACTTAAGTTAAAGTCGACCTAACCGGACTATATAATGCCTGTTTATTTTGCTGCAATTTATTTGTGTCCAAAACTTGTGCTTTTGTATGCAGATGTGTAGGTTAGAGCCTTGTTATTACCACTAAAAGATTTGCATATCGTGTGATTGGAATAGGAGTAGGCGTTGTTTTCATAAGATTACAGTGTTTGTATGGGCGATTGGCTTACTGCACAGGTGACTTCAGTAATTATGTCCTGTTTTCCTACCTAGAATGTTTGTTTGCGTTTTTACTTAACCCATCAAGGAAATGTGCTTGGAATTCTACTAAATAATCTACACAGTCTTGCTGTTAAAAGAACATACCCCGTACAGTCTACCCCTTGTATAGTAATTACAAATTGATTACCTTTGCTCGCCTACAAATACACAATCGACATACAGTACAGTATTGTAGGAATAATGAAGCTAATTTCTTACGGTTCAGTAAATATTTGTAACGTTGACAAGAGAATGTAATACACCAGTACCTGCGTTTGTATTCTTATCATTTTGAGTCGCCACTGTGCCATTGTGAATAGATTGCCTGGTACAGGCCATGAAAAAACATTTGTGAGTGCATGGATGGACTCCTTTCTTACAAATCTCTCCTTTTGAATTATATATTACACTTGTCACAGGTACAAGTAACAGCCTAGCGTATAGGCTTATCCAGGGGTGCCAGAGTATACAGTGCAATGTTACGGAAAACAGTGCAATTTTACGGAATACAGTACAAACGTATTAGTATATACAGTACAATTTTACGGAATACAGTGCAATCGTATTTGTATACAGTGCAATTTTATAAGTTAAAATTGCACTGTATACTAGTAAACTTGCACTGTATACTAATACGAGTGCACTGTATTCCGTAAAATTGCACTGTATACTCTGGTAATCCTGTCATCGTCTCATGCATGTGAAGCGATACCGTTCTAAAGCTCAAATCTTTTTGAAATTACGGAGCATCTGAATTTTGTAGTTCAAACTCATCATGGCCAATTTCATTGCATTGACCCGAAGAAAGAATGTTGTATGTCAGGTCATCCTGTCTTATTATAGCTTCATGTGCCAACATCAGAAGGCATTGGAAGATCCCATTGCTGTATGCATGTATAGACTATTGGAACACTTCACATTTTTGACAAGGGTGATTTTTTTAGGAACAGTCCATTTATGCGATAGGTCCATTTTTGGTATGGGGAATGTGGTGAAGCCATCTGCTGCATTTGCTCCAAAGCAAATGTCGGCCTTTTTACTAGTTCTGAATGTTAACCTTCAGTCATGTAAGGTTAACATTTTGGCGCCAAATTTGCATATGGGTAAAGTGGACAAGCTTGGTAAAAAGTAAACTATGAAGGAGTTTTGTCGAAAATAGGAACATGGTTGACAAGATTACACCAATTCTACAAATGAATCGTTTGGTACCAAATTTGCATATGGGTAAAGTGTTATGCATTCGCGTACAAGCTAGGTTAAAACTAAACTAAGAAGGAGTTTTGTGGACAAAAAAGGAACATGGTTGACGAGATTATACCAATTCTACAAATGATATGTGTGTTTACAGTTGAATCTATAATGTTAAAACAACAGCACTTATCGAAAAATAATCCTCTTCGATTTCAAGAAACCTCCACCCAAAACAGACCTGTGCCGTTCAGACATGTTTGTCCGTGCGTGGTGACGAATTCAAACCCTCCCAACCGTTGCATTGCCAGGTTTTATTTGCTAAGAGTACATAGTGCTGGCAGTCTAACTGTTGCCTTAAAAGCACTCTGACGTGTATTGATTAATGTTTCCATCGCTCCCCTCCCCTCCCAAGGCCATTGGTCCAATCGCAACTGCTATAACAAGCTGATATAGTCCCTTGGTCTGGGCTATGTCTATATATCTCATTGTCGTGTGGAAGTGTTCTTGCGGGTCTTGTATAGATGTGATTGCGAAAGATTTGCAGGTTGAATGAACCAATTTTACACACAATAGCACTCCCTTGACTCCAGGAGGACCGTCTAAGGCAAATATCACATCGGCAGTGAGACCTTCGACCTTTGTATGTAGACATGTCTACAGGTGGTCATGCATGGGACGTTGGTAAGGAACATTGGTTGCTAATGGCGGTTTGAAGCTACCTTGGTGAGGCCATCTTAATTTGACTATATGGATGACATCCTCTGGGAACCCCAAAACTGAGGCGAGCGTGCGAATAAAAAAAGTTTGGCCCCCAAAAAAGTTGCTGTCATTATGAAATCTACATGGTCATGAAGGTTGAACAAATGACACAGAGTATGGTATGGCGACTAATCTAGTCTTCAAATTAATTTCTTTCTAATTTTTGTCTTTTTCGTTTGCTTTTATTTTGGCATTATACGACATTGCTATCGTATTCCATTGTTTTCAACTTACGGTATATATTTGCTAAATTTGCAACTGTTTTGTACGATTTACAGTTTGGTTAATTTTTTTTTTGTAAACGGACGAAAATTCATGCGCGCGCGTATGTCATCCATATAATCAAATAAACATGGCCTAAGACAGTGCTAGGTGAGCCCCTCATCAGGACACGGTGTTGGATTTCTCTTGTTTTCTCTCTCACCTCCCAACTATGTGCAGGCATGGAGGTAGAAAATCACACGGTGCGAGAGACCCTTGTGTCAACGTGCTGAGAGGGAAAACAATCACCGTATTTTATTCAAAGGTGTAAAAACGTCAAAACACGAAGTACGATTGTCTGGTAGAGTGGTATCAGGTGTGCCATAGTACAAGTATACAGTGCAAATTACGGAATACAGTGCAATTTTACGGAATACAGTGCAATGTTACTAGTATACAGTGCAATTTTACGCACTACAATACAATCGTATCAGTCTACAGTGCAATCGTGTTAGCATACAGTGCCATTTTACTAGTAAAATTGCACTGTATACTCTGGCATACATGGGTATTGGCAGATGGTTCGGACCTCACTTTTTCCTAAGCTAATCGTAAATGGAACAAATCCTATGGGCTTCTTGAGGTCCAGCTTGCGCCTTTAAAAGCTAAAAATCTGTAATTCAAAGTTACACATTGATATTGTACATTCTTTTTCTTGAAAAGTACATCTATAAAGTTTAGTTTATGTCCAGTGTGTACAGAAGACATGGTTGGTTACCCTGAGCGGGGCAGAGTCTTAACGTTACATGCCTGCTTGGCATCTCTGTAACGGCGAGGCAAAACAACTATAGAGGGATTATGTACGCAAGCATAGGGCTACCCTGGGTGCCAAACTAGTATCGGGCCGTTAGCCGTTTTCCTTCGGCGGCCAAGAGTCCTTCGCCCGTTGTAAGGGTCAGCCAAACTCCCCCCGGGCTAGTCTCCCCGTGGCGGTAATTTAGACAGGCGGCCGAAGGGCTCTTGGCTGCCGAAGGGAACAGCTAGCGGCCCGAAACGAGTTTGGCATCCAGGGTAGCATAGGGCGGCTTGGAAGAATTAGCCTCTTCCATGTTCCCACCGTCGCTGGATAACGTAGGTTGCAAACTATACCCCTTAGGCCACACCAATTTAATTTGTTGGTTCTCATCGATTCGCCTGTTCATTTTTTTCTGATTTGCCCAAAAAAATCTTGTTCTGAATCAGCCCAAAAATGCTTATATTTTGCCCCCAGCCATACAGTTTTTCCTTCAAATTTTACAAAGGACGATCGAAGAACCATAAGTCCACAGTGGTCGGTCTGCCTCCTAGGTTCAACCTGGATCAGAAACAACAAAGTTGCCATCAGTACCATGTGAAAATATCTGCCAACTTCAGTACTCAAGGGAATAATGGTTGATACATGTGACAACTCTTAGTAAACCATGTAACAATGATGTTTCGTTTTCATAAGTAGGAATGATGCTTGCTTGGTTTACCTGGGTTAACTTGGCAAATGAAGTAAGCCGAGTAAATGCAAGCGCTGTCGGCCCAGTTGCCACTTTTCGTCATTTGTACGCAGTCTTGAAATTGGGCGGCAATATGGTCTTTATGTGGTTCTCCCGGACCCCACTGGGTGTACGCTCCAAGGGAAGTGCCGTCATCCCACGTAAACACTCCTTCCTCGCGCTCATCGGAGAGGCCGAGCCAGAATCCGCCGTCATTGCCAGTAGTGGTCTTAAACAGGGACATCAGGAAAGCGTTGGTCTCCGCCTCTCGGGGCATGGCGAGGGTGCCGCCATCTTGACGGCAGGTCGCGGTTGCTTCGCTGAAGTCCTTCTGGGTGTCGAATACCTTGTAGCAGCTTCCACGCCACTGGTGATAACTTCCTTTAGGACAGGCTGGGGAAAACACGTTTTGTTTGTGTTGATCTTCCAAAGAGCTAATTTTATGCAATACGAATATAACGATAAAAACAAGACAACCAATTGTTAGATGAATCATCAGACAGCCTATGGCCAATGTGCAGTCAAAGTAGACTGGATGTCTCACCTGCAACAAATGCCGTTGGCCCCACCAGTCCTATTTCACTCTTTTGTCCCGGGTGGCCAATCGGCCCCCTGGCCCCCTTCTCTCCTGGAGGACTAGGTGGCACGACAGATCCAGGACCAGCTGGGCCCATGGCTCCCTTCTTTCCTGGAGGACCAGGAGGCCCGGCAGACCGAGGGCCAACTGGGCCCATGCACCCATTCTGTCCTGGAGGGCCAGGAGGACCAGGAGGCCCAACACACCGAGGGCCAGCTGGGCCCGTGACTCCCTTCTGTCCAGGAGGACCAGGAGGCCCAACAGACCGAGGACCAACTGTCCCAATGGCTCCCTTCTCTCCTGGTTGTCCAAAAGGCCCAGGAGGCCCGGGCGACCCAGGGCCAACTGGGCCCATGGACCCATTCTGTCCTGGAGGGCCAGCTGGCCCCGTGGCTCCCTTCTCTCCAGGAGGCCCAGGCGGCGCGGCAAACCAGGATGAAGTGACTTTAACTATTTCGAAATAAAGAAGAGAATCGAAAGAACCTGTAAATAACGTACGTACCGTACGTATGTAAATAACCTGTACGTACGTGTCTTCTCTGTCACAAACAGTGGAAGATTTAGCTCTTCAATGTACCAAAACTGAATTGAGAACACATTCCTTATGAGATCACTTCCCTTACTTTTCAAACATGACAGGTAAAGCAATGCGTGTAAGGAACTTGCCTGCAAAGAAACACAACAGTATGACGATCACTACGGCAAACCCAATGCCTGCTATCTGCCAAATCTTGTTGCGAACGCGCCAACACTTGTTAACGTCCGCCGTGTCGTGGGCGGTGTCTGTTGAACAATTAAAGAGGAATATGCAATTTCACAGTCCTATCTGACAATATAATGTAAAGTAACATATAATGTGGCAATATAATGTGAAGAAACATTATAATGCAATAACGCAATGTAAATACTCAGTTTTTAATTTTCCCCAGTCTTTGCTTTGCTTTGTTTCCATAACCGTTTGTATGTCATTCTAGCGGCAACATGAAAAAAAACATTTTACACTCAATCGCCAGCATGTGATGGAAATAAATATTAAATGTCGAAATAACTAAAAACATAAACAAAACAACCTACCGCATACCTTATGATTTGCTAGTGTAAGGTACAAACGACAAACATAGCGCCAATATTCCCATTCTACTATACTGTGACCGCCAAGTGACCAAATATTTAGCAGATCGCTCAACGAATTTCACAGATAAAGAAAGATTTTTCCCGTATTGCGTGTTTTGTTGTCTTTTAGATCATGTATTTTTCCACTTTGAATCATACTTCAAGTTTGATACCATTGCCCATTTAGTTTCTGTTCGGTCGTTCAGCGAGCGACGTGCGCCTAGTAGAAAGTGAGTCTCAAAGGATGAAAGAAAAACAACCACAGAAATTTGCAGCCCAAAGTGGAAAGTGTTTACCTGCTCTAGAGGCGTACAAAGTGTTTGGTATGTTCGCAGTGGCGTCAGCAACCGCCAGCCAATCAGTCTGAGGCTCCTGCTCAGGTGTGTCACCTGGAGAAATATTTCAAAACTAGAGAAGTAACATTTGCAAAGCAAATGCATAATGTTTACCTTCGGACATGGTCTGCTCTGGTAATTCTCAGTACCAAAACACATTCACATACATGTACTACTAGTACTAGTATATGGTGACAGGAGCAGAGCAGACCATGAAATTGCAACATTGTGTAACCCAACACCAGTCACTATGGTGACAGACGTAAACAAATCATGTCATTGGCCAGGTCAGAGGTCACGGTTTGAAGAAGAAGAAGAAGAAGAAACTGAGTAAAAGCAATATGTTTTCCTTCGGTAAACATAATTAGGATGTCATTTTGCAGAATTTACCTGAACTTTTCAATCTTCAAAGTCTTCCCTCAGCTGGACTAAGAGAATCCCAGTTGTGTCGGTCACATACACGACGTGCAAGCTACTGGAAAGGTTTTTATTTATTTATTTTAACTTATCCACTGCAAAATCAAGGAGTTGTAGGTATGCATTTTGGGTGCGAGGCACGGCCGGTGCGTCTTGTCAGATTTCTGGACAGCAAAAACACGCCCTACACCAGGCAGGCGCTTAACAACAATGAGCAATTTTACCTCAAACGAATAAAATATAAAATAAAAATACGAAAGATAAAAGCAAAGCAAACAGATTGCACGATTTGCAAACATAAAACTTCTCGTGGGCGAGACTTATCAAATGAACACGTAATTGCTTTAATTGCTAGATATTGAGTTGCTGTTGTATTGATGTCTCTTTGCTTTGAAAACAATATTAAATACAGTTTGCATTTGTAGGTTAACAATTATAGCGCGTTCTGTCTTCGTAGTAAAGAACACACTTACTATACTAAGGTAAGGTAAAAATTGAGTACGGCAGTTATCAGTCTCCTTATTTGTGGGGACCGTCAATAAATAGCTAGAATAAGCCTACGATAAAGAATCGAATGACATCACATTTTGGCCTTCCAATATATCAGCATACTATGGGATAGCATTGATTCAACTTACTATATATATATTAGAAGAATATTCCAAAGTACAATATTTTTTTAATCTGTATATTTCAATTTTTGGTGCAAAATATTACATAATGCCCCCTTAAAAACAAAGATATAAGCAAAGTTAGCAGATTGCACTATTTGTAAACATTAAACGTTTTACAGAGGAGACTAATTATATGGACACGTAATCGTTTAAATCGCTTTATGTTGAAGCCAGTCGGCTACTAAAAGAGTTACCGCTGTATTAATCTCTTTAGATATAATGGTTTTATTATTCTTTATCATTAAATGTTCTAAACAACGATTACGCCAAACAAACTAAGACATAAGTCAGGAAAGCGACTCTGTTTCCAGAGCAAGCCGCTAGGTAACTGCCTGGAATTTCATACTTGGGGTATTTGAAAGTTACGTGAAGGTGAACATAACCTATTCAAATAACAACCTCATTCGCATAATTTATGAGAAAATGATAGAATGGCATTCTTTAGTTAAGATAAGACTGTCCTTTGGTGTAGAAAATGATCAACAGATATAACTCATGCAATTTAGGATCCTATTTGCATAATCATGGGGATTAATATATAATTCCTGAGTCATAAAGTCATAATATCATTTGGCGAAGGTATGAGATCGTAGAACTCTATTTATTAATAATTTGCTCTTTAAAGTAATGTACAGTGTCACACGTCAGCGTTTTTCTACGGGATGGGCAGCGAAAGAAATTCAAACATCTTCAGTAGATGGATAACAGTTTGCCTATGTTGCCTTGCCTATGTTTGAATTATTTTGCTAACAAATAATTAATATTCCTTATGTACTCGTATGTATGTATTATTTCATATCAATTTCATTTCATCTCAATTTATGTATACTATTGTTTCATTATCGCTATTGTATCATTTTTTCCATGTTTGAATTATTTTGCTAACAATTCCTTATGTATGTATGTATTATTTCAATTCAATTATGTTTAGTTTTGGTTAGTATAGAGGAGGAGGGCTTAGCATAAGCTAAATAACCTTTTTTCCTCCTCCTGCACCTGTTTTATTTATTATTAGTGTATTATGTATAATTATTTTATTGCTGTTGTGCAAATAAACAAACAAACAGTCCCACGGTTTCTGTTTATGCGCTGAGTCCGAAATCAGGGTCGTAGTTTGCAAGCACGGCTGCGTACGTAGCTGTGTCAAAACCACACGCCTTCACTTCGGGACGATCAAACATGGCGGCCTTCCACCCGAGAATCTTGGGGAACTCGGCTTGCGTTAGCGCCAGGTCGCCGTGGAGTGTCGTCTCAAAGCGCTCGAAAAACGGACAGACGCTGTAGTCAAGAAAACCAGGCTCGTCGCCGCCGAAGAACGGCTTGCCACCGGAGGCCAACGCCTTCTCCAGGAACGACAGCCCCTCTTTGAAGGCCTTGAAGGCATCTTGTCGTTCCTCTCCCTCCGTTCGTTTGGTCTTCATATAATTGGAGATAATCTAGCCGGAAGAAAGTTTGAATATAATGAGTCAAAGTTATGGATAAGAATTCAGTGTGGGGTGCAAAAGACGACAAATAACGCACAGGCAATGAGAACTGAAATAAGAAAGAATATATATTATGGTGTAGAGACACGTACGTGGGAACCAAAAAACATAGCTCTCACATGATGACATTGCACAAGTTTGTAAGCAACCAACATGGCGGATGATGAATTACGTCATCATCACGTGACTGCAAAATACCCTATAAAGTATCGTGCTGACCTTGGCGTCCCAGACGGCTTGCAGCATCCCGATCCGCGCCTTCTCGAGAGGCTCCTCCGGTAGCAGCTTCCTGCCCGGGAAGACCCGGTCCAGGTACTCGTTACACACCAGGGACTCGTACACGACTTTGCCGTCATGCTGCAGGGTGGGCACCTTGGCCAGGGGGTTGATGCTGAAGAACCACTCTGGCTTGCTCTTCGTGCAGACGTTGACGGTCTCGTATCTATGGGGGAGGGGGGTATGGTAGACATGTTTAAAGTTAAAACTTTAGATCCAGCACAATAAAATTCTCTATAGCTTTCGACCAGTCACTCTGGTCTTCCTCAGTACTACTGACCCAGTGAGGCTAGTCACGTGGCTTCTGTGAAGTGTGACGTTAACACTGGGTCAAAGGTATCTGGTAGACGATGTCGGCCCCCGTCGCGGTTGAGTGAAGGGTGATGGGCCCTGATGTTAAAAGCGTCTTTCACACCTCTCAGGAAATAGTCTTGTTCAGTATCCAATCATAGATTTTCCAATGTCCGAACAAGACTATTTCTACACGCATGGTATCTTGCATTGTCAATTGGTGAATAAATTAATATACATTGATTGACCAGGATAAAATGAACAATACGTACTCGATACCCTTGGCAGCCAGAACCAGTCTGGTCCGGTGGGCGAACGGACAGAACCGCATGCTGATGAGACGGAGTACGCCCGGCGCCGGGGGTTCGGGAGGGCTGGAACCTGTGCAAAAAGTTGCGTTGTTACCAATTATGCAAATGATAACCTAATTTGCATAACTAATGTGAAAATTCCGTGATACCTTATTGGTAAATGATGGGAATTTTATACCTTGTGACATGTGTAAGTTACGTAAAGGTTACTATCATCATGCGTATATCATGTTAATGTAGATGTAATTTGCATATTTCGTGAGGACATGTTAGAATGAAGAACAGGAATTTCACACGCAAAATATTGTAATTTGAATTTCGAAAACCATAAACTAAACTAGATTATGGTAATTACGACCATAGTCAATGAGACAAATAAAAAATATTTACAAAAACTCATATTTCATGGAGGTATGAAGTGTCCGAATTCTCCTTAAGGCTGTACCAGGGTATCGCTGAGAGACAGCGGGCAAAAATTTCAAAATAAAGTTTTTTAAAAACTAACCATCAAATATGGTAGTTAAGTACATCTCTGTTTTCATAATCTGACATGTTTGTCCCACCACCGATGTTAACGTTTTTGGGTGCAAAATTCAAGGATTAACGTCGAGTTTTTAACTGCCGGTTTTGGGTGGTGATACCTCTTGGAAGGGCAGTTTAGGTCATCCAAGGGGTAAACGTGCTGTCGCATTTCTTTGTCACTTAGGTGTTAGTGCGACAATCTTTTAATCTGTTAATAATTTGTAACCGTAACCGATAGGTGTTTACCAAAGCATGACTTGCATTTTTTCGTGGAAGGGGAGGGAGAACAGGTGAGACACCTTTACCAGCTCCCTCCCCAAATCACATCAATAAAAAGCATTGTAAACATTGGAATTATACACACTGTAAGAGTAATACATAAAGATACATATACAAAAATATGGACTTGTAACATGTCCGTCAGCGTGGTCTTAATGCTATGCATGTACCACATCTGCAAGCCGCAGACCATGTACATGTACATATGATGTCTGTGTCAAAGTTGTCCTGAAACCTGTTGCTTACTGATAGGACACCGTTTGAATTGCAAAATGTCCGACTGACTTGACGCTGCAACCCTCAAGACCCTAATTGTCGTTCTGGACTAGTCTCTAGTTTACCGGTGCAATAGCTCAATTGGTAGCTATAGAGTGCTCGCTTTGTAACCGCGAGGTCGTGAGTTCAAACCCCGGCCGGGTCATACCAAAGACTTTTAAAAATGGTATACACTTCTTTCTCTGCTTAGCACTCAGCACATGTGAGAAAGAGTGTGGGAAGGTCAAACACACAGCACTACCAGTGGACTAGCCCCCTGCTGTAGTGCCTTGCACAACTGTGTGTCGCCCAAGGGCTACGGAAATGGACATGGGCACCAAAACCCTATGCTCTGTATAGAGCACGGGTAGACTAGTCTCTACTCACCTGTTTTGTAGGCCTTCTGAGTCGGCATGGCTGGAGCTGGTACTGTACGCTAACGTCGACGTGGGATCCTGATCCTGAAGTTAGAAAATCGACGTCGCTCACTGCTTATAAAGGAGCTGTTGTGACTTCTCACGATGACGAAGCAACACAAACTTCGGCTAGAGCCTTGTAGAAAAGCAGGTAGCTTCAATCACGATGACGCAGCACATGTACATGTACAGTACTTCGGAAACAACAACGACAGAGCTACCATTTGTCGAAAGGGGGCGCTGTGGAAACGCCATTCGGCTGCTAAAATTTTCAAGCAAATGTTTGAAGGGAAACGCTTCTTGTCTGTGCCGTTTTCATAGGCTGTTGACGATGCTTGACATTTCTTGTGGTTTATTTTTCTAGGAAATCTGAAACCGTTACAACTCAAGTGCCCATGGTAAACTGGACTTCCGAATGGCTCGTGAATAATGATTGCGGTGGTGAGTAGCGTTCCTCTTATTTCTTGCGTGTAATAAAGAAGCTGTTGTGACTTCTCATGATGACGAAGCAACACAAACTTCATGTACATGTACTTGGTAAACAACAACTGCGGAACGTTATAACTACCATTTGTCGGAAGGGGGCGCTGTGACAACGTCTGTAACACGGCTGAAAGCATGTTGAATGCTAGCGCTGCTGCAGCTGGTGGCATTTGATCCTAACAATTAGCCCTCCGCAATTCGTGCGTTTTATACTTGTAATTCGTGCAAAACGTTGTATAATTGTAATATAGAACGCACTTTGAGACTTCGTAGCTCTTAAGCTTGCGGAGCAGCAAACCATATTTCTTGTTTTGCTGTGTGAATATCTTATGCCACATGTCATATGACGAGACGAATTCCTTACTTATTGTGTAAAGTTGGTCTTGTATTCTTTTCATGGTAATGCAGACCCCCAAACAACCAGGATGACACATAGGCTAAGTACACAGGTGTTAAAAAGCAGAAAATGATTATGAATATTGCAACATCGTGAACGAAGTTAGATATAAAAAAATGAAAGAATTGGAGTACAGGGAATATTAACTTTTATTACAACTGGTGGTATAATGGTAACATAAAGTAATACAATGTACCAACTGGTCATTGTTAAGAAATCAAATCAAACTTCTGTCCAAAACTCTTATATTCCTTTTGGTTATTCAAACGTTTAGCTGTCAATCTCTACTGCTCTGGTTAACAAAGATACAAACCCATGAATTTTCGAACAAAATGTAACGATAGCATTTGATGAGCTGTACAATGAATTGCAAATATTTTGTATCCTCCAGTGTCCAGTGTCTATGGGTACTTTGATACTTAATGGTGCGATCGGGGGAAAGAATTCAAGAAAACTTTGTATAAACACAATTCTGGTAAAACGTTTTAAACGTAATTTTTTTCTTTTTCTCTTTTTCTAAATAAGGTCTCAAAGAAGAACAAGAAGGTATTTGCGCACTGCTCTGAATCACAACATTCAGTAGCTATCAAATACTGGCGAAATATCAACATTTCTTGGAAAAAACGTTGTTTCCTGAGTGTGTATAAACATAATTCTGGTAAAACGTTTTAACGTAAACTTTTTTTTTGTTTTTTTGTGATAAGCTTAAGGTCTCAAAGAAGAACAAGTTTTTGCGCAGTGCTCTGAATCACAACGGTCTGTAGTTATCATATACTGGCGAAATATCAACATTTCCTGGAAAAAAAGATGTTGGGTCCCTTGGTCTTCTCTGGTCCGACACTAAGGCGCCATCATGATTTAGTGACCATCACTGCCTGGGTCGTCTGGGATGTTGAAGCGGACTCGCTTGGCGAGCATCTTGGCCTTACAGACTGTAGCCACCTTGTGATCCTGTTGTTTGTGGGATGGTAGAATTGCTATTAATATATATTAGGGACCAAACCGAAACCGAACAAATTTTGATTGAATGTGAAACAACTTGAGTGCCCGTTTAAAGTTAAAACTTTTGATCCAACACAAAGAAATCTCTCACCTAGAGCTTTCGACCAGTCACTCTGGTCTTCCTCAGTAGACTGACCAGTGTTGACGTCACACTTCAAAGAAGCC